CCTGCTCTACCAACTTAGCTGCAAAACCCCTGCAAACACAGAGACTTCTTCCCCACTTTTATGAGACAGAAGTTAAAATGGAAGCTCACCATTGGTGGGGTTTCACAGATCTTGTGGTTGTGTATTGTACCAGTATCCCTAAGATCACTGGTTCAAGGCATAAAATTATTCAGGTTTCCCTCTAAAATTTCAGTCACTATCTCTCACCATATGAAAATCAATCCTATACAAATCAAACATATTAGACACCCATCCTAACTAATTAGCTGTTCAACCATTTATATAAATAAAAGCGTAGTATTAACGAGATACAAACGTCAAGTCAGTTCTTCTATACGGATCAGAAACTTGGCCAGTGGGTCACAAAGAATATTTCCAACAGGTTGCAGACCTTTATCACCAGCTGTCTTCGTTCTATACTCAAGATCAGATGGCCGGAAAGAATCACCAACAAGAAACTATGGGAACAAACAAAACAAGAACCGATCGCCCAACAAATATGCAGGAGAAAGTGGAGATGGATTGGACACTCGCTGAGGAGGCCACTGGGTGACATCACGCATCAGGCCAGTGGTCGAGTGGAACTCGAAAGGGAAGCAGTGAGTGGGACGTCCAAGGGTGACATGGAGGAGATCGCGTGAAGAGGAGCTGAAACAGTATGGACTAACATGGATGCAGGTGAAAAGTACAGCATAAGACAGAACCAAGTGGAGAAGTGCCTTTGAAGCCCTATGTTCCACTAGGAACCCAAGGGAACAATAATAATATTATAATAGTAATGAGATAGATAAAACAATTCATCGATAAATTCCTTTATAAGAGGGTGAAATAGAAATGGTCTCTTCCCAAAGAAATGCCTAGGATCTACGGTGTATGTATTCACGTATGAAACCAGAATTACTTTTATACATTCAGAAGCAACCGTCAATGTAAGAAGTAAACAACTATTGCAGCAGTCTCCACTAAAAGTTGTCTACAGTACTCAGCAATGGTGCATACAAAAAACACTAAGAATCTGATTCTTGTTATTATTATTATTGTTTCCTTTAGTTCCTAGAGGAACATAGGGATTCAGCCGCACATCTCCATTGCGTTCGCTTCTCCGCCAACCTTTTCACGTGGTTACACGTCCACCCACATGCTTACATCTCCTCTTCACATCACCTCCTCCATGTCACCCTCGAACTGACGACCAACTCGCCGCTTCCCATTTGGGTTCCACTCGAGTGATGGCCTGGCGTGTGATGTCACTTGATGGTTTGTTTTCTCAGAGTATGACCAATCCACCTCCATTTCTTCCTGCATATTTGTTGCACAATAGGTTCCTGCTGGGTTGGTTCACTCCTAGAGACCCCACCCTGTTGGTTATCTTTTCTGGCCATCTGATCATCAGTGGTATTGAGCGAAGACAGCTGTTGATGAAGATCAGTAGTTTGTTTTAGATGCTCTTCATGAAGCATCAAGTCTCTGATCCGCATAGTAAGTAGCACTGACTTTACATTGGAGGTGAAAATCCGGATCATACTTTTCCTGCTGAGTGCTGTTGACCTACACACGGACTTCAGAGTCATGTAATCTCGTCTCGCTTTCCCAATTCTTGCTTTGATATCCTCATCAGTTCTGCCTGTAGTTGAAACAACGCTTCTCAGGTAGGTGAAAGAGACTGCGTCTTTCAGATTTCCCCCATTTATGCTGATTGACTAAGAATATGAAAGAGATAAAAATGTTGACCACTTCTTTCTCAAGTTTTTTTAAGAAGAATATAATTCAGTCCCTATGACGAAGAACAGACAAAGGAAAAAGTTTTGTTTTAAAAAGTATTTAACTGTAACATATCTTCACATTGAGTAGCGCTAAATCTTTCAGCTCATCGCAAATCTTTTTCCTTATCTGTTTATCTCGTCTACGCTCAACTACCGACCCAAAAGGTTTAACCCTATCGTGCATTAACTGAAAATTGAGCTGTAAAGCACGGTGTACTGGCAAGTGTTTGTAAAGGTATATATATATATTTCAGTATGGTTCTGACTTTGAATCTAGAAAGTTTATTTTATGGACGTTAGATACTGTCACTGAACTTTTATCATTATCTAACAGTAACAGTGGAATACGAATTCCTCCTTCCTTGTATCATAAAGCGATTTAAGTATTTTTACTTTCCGTAATTTCAGTATCCAATGACATAAATTTGCCACATGGTTTTAGCTTGAAAAGTTAGAAAATGGGAAAAAAGGAAAGTTTATAAGTAAACAAGAAAATAATCTATCTTAATAATCATAAATTTAAACAATTTCAGTGGGCTTCATTGATGTTAACATTCTCTCCTGAAATGACACACAGTATCCAAAGGGTTAAATGCAATTTTGACGCGTTATTTTAAAGTGTACCCGCAAAATTTTAAGAAATTACTAAAGTGACCATCGCAAAAAGGTTTCTCACTTGTCAGTTTCGAAAATTTTGTGTCTAAAAAAATAACCAGAATAGGATAAACTGCTAAGTAAAGTAGTATTTTCTCCATTCTTCCACTGCTCAATAGTCTATGACAATATGATTACAGACAGGCACCACGGTTTCACTCAAAAGATCCTAAGTATCATCAAAAACCAAACAGTGGAATCCTTGAGTCCTTATCCAAATAATTAGAAGTAGTACAAAATGAATAAAATTATACTTGATATCCATTTAGCTACTACCTTTGTTTTGCAGTCATGTAAAAGTTCTATAAATAACTATTGCTTATTGTTTCGGGATGTTAGTTATAGTTTCATTTTATGATCACATATTCCATGTGAATTATCAAAATAGTAGTAGCAGTAGATGGATTTCATTACTAATCAGCACATGCTAGAAACTCATCAAAATCTTAAAGGCACTGGACATTTGCCTATACATTAATTAACTGTTTTCGGCACTATAGATTAATCATCTCAGAAGATCAGGTCAAGGCTATTATACCTTTAATCATCATCTAGCATGCTGGATAAGCTGCTACACCGATACGCAAAGTTTAAAACCCTACAACTGTTTTTAAGTTTGTCATCTAAAGATTACTCAGTACGAGGTGAAACCAGAGGTATTCGGAAAACAAAGGGTGATCTTACTGACACTACAAATGCTATCCAAGAAGGTAAGAGGAGTAATGCAGACCGATATGAGTTGTTGAAAATCACACGTGTTAAGGAGTACTAGTTTTTAGATGATTTGGCCTCCCTAAACCGGTACACCATTTATTAGTTCAACTCCAAAAAGAGTAAAACGTCTGTCTGGTACTTGGATCGCTTTGATCTGGCTAACAAGTCCTACTAGTTATCTCTAACGCTTTCCTACTATTTACATCAATCAACAGTAATCAGTATAATGACATTCTGAGCTGCTTTCCCACAATTTCAAGAAACTTGCACGGAGATGATGTCCACCTGTTGAATTCTTACAGAAGTGAATTATTTTCATTTAGAAATAAGAAAAAAATCTCAATAATAGTTGAGTGAAAATGTATTCTATGCTACTAAATAAGAATTAAACAGTATTTCTTATTCCTTTCTCCCGTATATCTGCTATTATTACATATGATCACTTGTCCACTAATTCGGCAGATTATTTCGTTTAACTAGCAAGATGTTGACCAATGAAGTTAGACCTATAGTTGATTTTAGAAATTCGCCTACTTATGAATTATCTAAATATTTAGCCATGGTATTCAATCCCCTTAAAAGCCACACAAAATCTAGACTAACAAATTCTTATGAAATAAAACATAGTTTAGATAATTTAAAATTAGATAATGAAGAAAAAATGGTTAGTTTTGACATTGTCAGTTTACATACACGTATATCAATAAATATGGCTATAGAGGCAGTAAGAAACGAATTCAATTCTGACCAAGTACTTAAACTTAGAGCAAAGGTGCCACTTGAGGAGATAATGCCGGGAGTGCAGCTATGTCTGACTTCCACAGTATTTAAACTCCTAGTAAAAATCTACCAAAAAAAACTGAGGGATTTACAAGGGGGTCGTCAATATCCCCGGTTGTGGCAGACATATTCATGGATAGGTGGGAAAACTTAGCGATTGAAACGTTCACAAACTGGTAACCAGTTTGCAAATTGTGAATTTCATTTATCTAGTGGAAAAAGTTACAACTGGTTGTTTTCTTTCCAAAATTTGTTTTTTGTAATTACCAGTGATATGAATTGTTGGGCCGTAGACGTCTACCATCTGCGATAGTTATCATTTGGCAAACTACCTAAAACCAAGCGGAATTCGACAACTACTTCGTGACGATTTATAAGTACTCATTAGCGATTATTCAGAAGTGCATCGGCGGCTCAGGGGTAGAATATCCGTCAACCAACCATGTGATCAGAAGTTCAATTCCCGACCAACTCACTCCTAGACGTCGTTAGGCCGGTAGCACGGCCGGTGAATAGGGAAGGTTCGGTGTACGGCTAGCAACCACTGTTACCAAACATTCAAGTCTCTAGCTGGAAGCCCAATGTTCCACTGGGAATGTAAAGGAATAAACAAAAAAGGTTATTCACAACCTCCTAGATGTGATAGTGTCCTAGTGACTGTCGGATCGAGTCATGAATAATGTTATGTCCAATCAGTTAAATAGTCTATTTTTAGTATCTTTTGTCAGTTAGCACCCATCATCTGACTTCATGAACAAGAGGTATTCCTTGACTCTTCCCTGAATTATATCATATAGCATATGGAACTTCAACTCAGAGACATTCGTTAGAGAACAAAAATTTAACACTGATTAGGGATAGAAAATGGCAAACTTCATTTTACTCTGACAAAGAAGTCAAATCTTACCTCCAGCTTAACTAATGGAAAAATGACAATTAAAAAATGCTTGGAAATGATCAGAGGGAACAACAGTTAGAGCAAACAGTCTGAGATATAAACGTTCATACACTAAGAATCATTTTACCAAACAAAAATAAACTTGGATAAATTAGTCAACATTGCAATTTAATCTTTATTGGAGAACTTACTGAAACGCTAGAATCTGTATGTCTTGTAATTCAAAATGCGTATGTATATAAAGAAATAACAATCTGTTGCAAATAGTGATATTAATCCGAGCATTTATTCATTTTGCATTGCCAAGACATAAAGGATCTATAATCTCACTAGATGCATATTTACATAATTTATCCTTTATGTATTGCTTAGAAGGAATCATTCATCCATTCATTCATTCATTTGGATCAATCAGTCAGTATTATGTTTACCGGTTTGCAAATAATGTCATACTACTACAATAAAGATATTGAGAAGTTACTTTTCTTACTTTCATTACAATCTTAACCAATGAAAGTGTTGCTTGAAAATACTTCAACCAATCGAATCATCAGGTTCACTAACCAATTAAATGATGAGAAAGAATCTTGTCCTATTTCATTTTGTCTTCTCTGTTTTTATCTATGCGGTCTACTTTATGCTAATTTGAAGGTTCAATCTTTTTTCTAGGTAAAAAAGGATAAAAGAGAAAGTTAAAGTCACATGAATAAATACGCGACAGACTGGGGAAAAATTATTTCTTTTAAGTTGCAATTTTTGGATAAACATTTACGGTTTTTATTTATTTAAATTGGTAAAAAAGCTTCGTTTAATATCAAAAAAAGTACATATTCATAAATTTTATTTGCTTTAATTTCATTGAAAGGTATGGTGGACTAGCCCATTTCCGTATTCACTGTCACCGGTTTAATCATTAAACTGCACTAATTTCCATAATTTTATGTAAATTATAATGAATAGGAGTAGAATTCAGGATGCGCGTCTCGTTGAGTTCGGGACTTATTATCTGGATCCACTTGCTTCTGATCTTTCCAAGTGTTCCCACTGAAACTTGAAGGAAACGTCTTTTCTGGACTAAAATGCTAGTCACCATCAATCAAATAACAGCATGTTAACCTTTAGATTTCTTTAAAGTGCCAGTACTAGGAGTTAACATATCAAATACCAAATAATCGCCCAACTGGAAATACAAATTAGTTTAAACGGATTATCTGTGATTTCAGACAGAACGACATGAGTTGGAGGATCATTAAAGCCTAGAGGGCAACGGACAGCGATTTTGTCCTAGTTTGGGACTCATCAGCCACGGGCGCTAATGACCCCAACTAAGGTCAACCTTGGGAAGTTCAGATTATTAAGTGAGCCCATTGGCTATTGAACCACTGGGTAAGAATTTGGAATAATTGTCCAGTGTTTCTTGATTTTCAACGATTCTCTCACCGATGTTGATTAGCATCGAAACATACATTGAAGATAGTTGAAATCTCGACAAACTTATAACCTAAGTAAAATATATGAATTTGCACTGTATCTTACACTGGAAACGGAATAATAAATGTCAGATGCTTAAGTTATCTATTTGTTTAGCTATGTGAATAATTCATCTCAATATCTGTATCGACAAAACCTTAGTCATAACATAACACTTAATAATCCCTCAGCTTCAGTCTTTCACCTGTAAATTATTCTCAACACAATGGGGTTGTATAGTCTGACCAGTTTGTCAAACGCAATGCCAGTGTTCTAAGCCAATAAAATTTTTCCATCTAATTGAATTATCATGTGTATTTATTGTATGATAAGAATAAACTGGCAAGTTGCGGTGTATTAGTAAATACCTCACGTTCATTTCAATGCTCTAGTATAGTATAACTGTAACACTGATAATATTGTACTTTATTAGCCACTAATGAATATTGGCTGGATACCTGTTTAAAACTATTCATAAGCATCTAACTTCTAACCAAAAGACTGAATGCTTATATGTTCCATTCGGTGGCTAGGAATCTCGCCGACGATGCACATGGTCCGGAGTTCGTTCCCCTGTAACATACACCTGATATCAATGGTCAGCCGGCAAAATTTGGGCTACCGATATCACTTGCTGAAAATCCCATACTTGTACCAAAAATACGGTGTGAAATCAGGCTATAATAAAAAAATTCAATGTATCTTCACTTGATCACTTATGAGTTTCTTAATTAATGGTCCAAGCCAGTTCTCATATAGTCATAAAGGAACCAATAAAGAGTGTTTGATTTTTTGGGTGAAAATTAAGGTGTGAATTCAACAACTTACATGAACATCTCTACATTAAATGTTACCAATGGATTAACGTTGATATTTAAAACATTACATTGAAAATTTTGTCAAATAAGATTATTTCTTGATCGCATGAGCTGTTTAGTAGACCAGGAGGTTTTAAGTAGTACTGAACATAGAAATAATGCTATTCCATTGATGTCATCTAACAGTAATAGCTCATGGAGCTCTTATTTTATGTCTAAACCTAACGGTTGAGGTAAACCGAATGAAAAAACCAAGGTGAGATGGCTTAATAAATTTAATTCACATCCATTCATTATACAGACATCAGTTTGTGGGTACTCAGAATTTGAATGGACACATATTACTGTGTCATTTCCTGAGGAATACAATAGATTAGTGCATTTAAGTGATGCCCCTGCTTCTGAAAATAAAGAAAATAGTTCATTAAAATATAACTTTATGCTTTTCTGAGCTAAATGTTGGTGTATCTTCTAGTTTCAGGTGAAAATTCATTTGGCCTTGAGTAAAAATGCTTTCCAGATCCTTTTCGTCTCAAATCGATGTGATCCAGAAGGTGATTTGTTATCCAGGAAATTTGAATAAACGTCTTATTTTAATTACATTTTTTAACTGTAAATTCCCGTTGCGTTTCGTTTCAAGATGAGCATACATACTGAGTGTCATTTCTGCACGAATTATCACTCTGAAGGGCAATTTTGTAGCCAAATTCACATTTTCACTACGGTAATCTTTAAATACCAATCGATTTCTACACAAATACAAAGTCAAGGTGCATTTTTATGCGCAGTTATGCAAAGTTATATCAATATAAGATTCCATTAATTCACTAGTTTCTTTGAAGACTACCGGTCAAGCATCCACGCCATTCGGCACGCCTTTGTGTGACGTTCGTTCGTTCGTTCGTGCAGGATCCCTAGCTAGTTAAGCAGTCATCTCGCACTCCGATTTGATAGCAAAATAAAACTCGTCATTTGGAAGATCAATTCTGGTGTTTTGCTTTGCCTTTGGTCTACACGGAACGAATACTATAGAAGTTGTGGGTATTAGATCTTGCGTTAATGTACTTCGTACTATCCGTGAACATCAATACCGTCAGCCTCTAAAATTTCAAAACGCCCATATATATGTACACGAGTGAAGTGTAATATAAGGGAAAACTAAATAAAGTTACACTCACCTCCTTTTAGTCAGTCCTTTAAAAATCAGTATTATTATTGTAAAAAAATCTTGAATGAATACAGGGACAATTTCATTTTTTACCTACCCGTAAATTCAATAATTCTTTTCTCTGTATTTCGGAACATCTGTGTTCTACTTTCCTTATCGAAAGACAAATATTCATGCTGCATTATATTCATTTTTGCAGATGTTTTCAACCACATGTAACATGTTAATTTGTTTACAAAATGTGTCACTGTGTCTCTTGTGTCTGTGGTCATTATTTTAACAGCTAATAGGGCTCCTTTTTCCCTCTTCCGAAGGTACTTTCAGTATAATTCACTATGCGGACTATTTATATTAGGCAAAATGGTGGGCATTTTCCCCCACACACATCCACAAACGCAAACAAAACAAACAAAAACTGATAACAATATATTTTTGATTTCTCTGTATTATTACATAATATTATGATTATTTTATTCCTTTACTTTCGCAGTGGAACGTAGGGCTTCAAGCTAAAGCCTTGAATTTTCAGTAGCACTGGTGCTTATTTTCACGGGGTATGACTTCTAGCTTCACACCTAACCTTCCCTAATCACCGGCCCTGCTATCGGGTTATAGAGGTCGAGGATCAAATCGCGGACCACGTGAGCGGTTGGTGAACGTTTGACCGCCCAACTACCGATGCACGATTTCATGTAAGAGTAAGTTATCAAATACTGTACAAAATAGCAGCGTGATATCTTAATAATTTTAGGTTGGATGAATTTGAAGTGCTGGAGACTGCCAAATAAATGAAGACAGAATTGTTTGATGGCTGTCATATGACAGCTAATGTCGGTCGTCTAATAAAACAAATTTATAGAAATTAGAAAACATGGGTGTTAAAAGGACTACACAATAACTTGATGTGTTTTCTCAAGCACAAAATACGCTCTCATAGGACTGTGAAATTGAAAAGACATCTTTATACTACCAACTGACAAAGTAAAAACTGCAGTAATTATGGACAAAGAAGAATGCATTAAGAAAACTGAGGATTTACTCAAAGATAAAAAATGTATATCAAGAGCTCACGACAAATTTCATCCAGACACTAGACAGACGCATCCAAAGAGTCCTAAGCAAACTTACCAAAACAGGTCAGATCACAAAGGAACATCAATGGTGAGTGAAATCCAATGGACCTGTCCTACCTCGATTCTACGTCAGGCCCGAAATAAACAAACCAAACAACCCTCTGTGACCAATCGTATTACTTGCAGAAACATTCAACAGAATGTTGTGACCAGTCCATCAAATGTCCAAACCACTTTTTAGAGAATTTCAAGGGCATTCAAATAGATGACCAAGAAATAATGGTACTCTTCGATGTCACAGCATTACATACATCGATTTGAAAGAAACTAGCATAGAAAACCATGGAACAATTACTCACTAATAGTTGTCACCCCTCCCCACAATAGTCAAAAACTCAAAACCCATATTGGATGGGATGAATAAACCTATGTGTAATCACGTATTCCCAATTCAATGGTTAAATGTATGAACAAATAAAATGGACACTTATGGAATAGTCGATATCAGGACTGATTGGAGATGCTGTAATGCGAGAGCCCTAAAATACAGTCCTACCAAAAATAAAACCCAAAATCTGGATATGTCCCGTGGATGACACGACTTGAGAAACAGTTACAGCCTAATCAGAAACATCTTCGACGATATTAAATTCACAAAAGAAAAAGAACTCGAGGAGATAATTCCATTTTCAGGCATCTTAGTCAGGTGAAATAAGTTAGAAACTCAACAATATAGAAAATTCACTCACACACATTGAATACCTATTTAAGACAGCAGCAACAACCGAATAACACAAAAAGATTTGCATGCGAACATGGATGATTTGGATTTCAGTTCACCCATCGGCTATATAATATGTTCTTCGAGTCGATTCTGCTTTGGGTCACGATTTCTCTTACTTATGTGCG